GCCGCGCCGCGGGGCCCAGACGTGGCGCCCTCGTAAAGCAGTGGGTCCGGGGGGAATGCGGCGTGTCGGGGCCTCCCCGTGCTCACAGCAGCCCTGTGTCTGCAGGATCCCCTGACCACGGTGCGGGAGCACTGCGAGCAGATGGAGAAATGCGTCAAGGCGCGGGAGCGGCTGGGGGGGTGGTCCCGACGGGGGAGGTGTGCAACGCGCGGGTGGCCTCCCGGTCCCAGACGGAGGAGCAGTGCACGGAGGAGCTCTTCGACTTCCTGCACGCCAGGGACCACTGCGTGAGTGCAGCATCCCTGCGGGGACTGGGAGGTCGAGTGCGAGGTGTGGTAGCTGTTCAGTCAGAGGGAGCTCTGAAAATCTCTGAGCCTTGATGCTTTTTCTCGCTGAATGTTTGGTTCCTCCTCATTACAACAGATCTAGCAGGGATTTGGTAGATTATGAAACAGGTAAGTCAGATGCATCGTTTGTGCCCTGCAAATGGTGCTCAACTATTTCAGTGTTGTATGTACCATTTTAAAGTTAAACCTTTTTAACCTAAGCTGAAACTTTGTAAGAAATCTCAGCTTGTTAGTTTTCTTGATGACTTGTTGCAGAACAATGAGAAGAATGGGGGACCACAGGACCATGTTTATTGGTGACCCAGAAAACAAGAGTTAGGTGGTAACACTCTTCCTGTTTCCATCCCTAGACCAAGGGTTACTGAAGGCTCTATCTCTTTCTAGGTTGCTCACAATCTTTTTAAGAACCTGAAGTGAAGGTGGGTGCGACTGTCCATCTGCTTCCACAGCCGATGTCAGCGGTTCCCGGGTCACAGTTCTGCTTCCTGCAGTCCGTCCTCCATTCTGAGTGTGAACAAAACGGCTTCCGGCAGCGTGTCGCTGCCTCTGTGCTCGTGGAAGATGTGCAGCTGCGCAAAAAAGTCCATGTTGATGTTCTGTGATTTTCCACATTAAACATTCAGAATTCCCATGGAAGTGCTCTCCATTTATTTCGTGGTTCTTGTGCTTCTGACTCGTACAAGGTTAAGATGAAATGAGTGGGTGTCAGAGCCCAGTTCTGGGGGGGGAGAATCTTCCTGACTGGTGGGAATGTCCGTTGTCTGCAGCTATGATGCATAGCAGCTGGATCCTGATCCCACAGGGAAGAAGTTGTCTGTTGGAGCCACAAAGATTATTTCCAAGCTCCACAAGACCAGTACTGTGCACAGTGTGTTCTGACTAAATTAAACTGAAGGAGTGACCCTTTTCTAGGAGAGAAAACTTTCCCACCCCACCCTGTTTCCACTCCAGTGAAAGCTGTTGCTACCAGCAGCTGGAAGAGCCTCTTGGCTGCAGTCTGCTTTGCCTTCTTGCCCAGAAAACCAACCTTTGGGGGCACATGGTGGTGGTTTACCTGCTCAAACCCTGACCAGGGTCACCTGGGGGAACTAAAGCCCTTCTGTGAGGCACCAGCCCCTTCTAATCACCTGGGACTGTCCTGTCCATGCTCTGCCTGCTCTTCTTGGGAGTGGGATGTTGAGCAGCAGGAAAACTAGGACGTGTCACAGGACAGAAAATTTCTCAGCTATTTCTCAGTTTTGAATGAAAACCACCACCTTACAAATTTGTCTGGCCTTTATCCATGTAGTGGTAGTCCTTTTGCTGGTGGTTTTCAAGTTTGATCCGTAGTGGATTGAACCAGATTTTATTAGGGTAAATGTAACATGTTAATTTCAGGAGGTTTTGTTGTGGTTTTTTTCTGTGGCACAGGGCTAGGGCAGGGTCCAGTTGTGCCTGTGTTTCTCCTGCTGCAAAGCTCATTTGTTGCTGGATCCTTTTCAGCAGCTGATGCTCAAATCCAGCTCAGTAATCATAGAACCACAGAATGGTTGGGTTGGAAGGGACCTTAAAGATTACCTAGTTCCAACCCCCCTGCTGTGGGTGTCCCCACTGGGTCCACTAGACCGGGCTGCTCAAAGTCCCATCCAGCCTAGCCTTGAACACTTCCAGGGATGGGCCATCCACAGATTGTCTGGGCAACCTGTGCCAATACCTCACCACCCTCATAGGGAAGAATTTCTTCCTCATAGCTAATGTTAACCTGTCCTCTGTTAGTTTAAAGCCATTCCCTCTTGTCCTTTCACTCCATGCCCTTGTGAAAAGTCCTTCTCCAGCAATCTTGTGGCCCTTCTCAGGCTCTGCAAGGTGCTCTAAGGTCTGTCTGGAGCCTTCTGGTCTCTAGGCTGAACACCCGCAGCTCTCCCAGCCTGTCTCCATGACAGAGGTGCTCCAACACTCTGAACATCTCCGCGGCCTCCCCCGGCCCGTGTCCCCCCGCGCTGGGTACACCGCGCCGGCCGCGGCGCTCGGGAGGGGCTGTGGAGGGGGCAGG